TCGAATGATGCAGACTACAATCCTTAAAGGCCTTACTATGAAATGAAGTCATTAAGGGTAATTTAATTTAATTCTGAGTGGAAATAATCAAAACTAGGAAAAAAAACTGAGTATAAACTATTAAATGGAGTTGAAGCTGCACAGTTATCCCTGAATAATTATTTGTGTACACTGAAGTTATTTCTTCCAAACGAATGGTATAAAAGAGTCTTTAAAAGTAATTCAATCAAGTCTATTTTCTTACCTCTGTTTGTACATGGAGTTGATTGGAAAGGCCTTCCTTATCCTGTAACAATCTCTTTTCTGAATTCTTAAGCTTTCCTATTTCATTTCTTAGCTCCAGCAGTTCTTTCTTATTATCTGATGAAATTCCATCGGACAGACCGAGGGGCTCTTTTTGTGGACCTGAGGATTTAGATCCTTTAGTATTTTTAACAGGTACCACATGGCTTATAGATGCTTTAGGAACTATGATTCGTACAGCTTCAATTTCCACAGCCTTGTCACCGTATACTTTCCCCAGCTGAAGAACTCCAGGACTTAGTGATGGAAGAAGTTTCTTGTGTGGGCTTCGATGGGCATGGCTAGTTGTGTTGAGGATTACTTCAGATTTTGAAGGCTGCTCTGTTTCCATGCCATCACCAGATCCACGAATGGGTGAAGTAGTATATTCACCTTCAGGTTGAGGCAGAAAATAGCATACAATATGTTTAAATCAGAAAAACATAAGTAATATACCCTAATATTATTAGGAAAGCCAGTAGTTCAGATGTAGTGCAGGGGTCCCCAATCCTCCAATCTGTGGATCGGCACCGGTCCATGGCATGCCAGAAACTGGTCCTCGCAAACAAGCAAAGCCCCATCTGCAGGAAGCACATGAAACCACGCCCCCTCTGGTCCACAGAAAAACCTCTCTCCATGGAATTGGTCCCTGGTGCCCAAAAGATTGGGAGCCACTGGTATAGTGGGTTAAGACACTAGGCTAGAAATTGGGAGACCATGAATTCTAGTCCCACATTAGGTAAAAATCAGTTCAGTGACCTTGGACTAGTCACTTTTTGTCAACCCTAGGAAGGTGGCAATGACACTTCTGAAAAATCATGCCAAAAATACAGCATGTATTAAAAGCCTTGTCTTTGTAAATATCTGCAATATATATCCCAAATCAATATTTAATTCCTAAAGAGGAATACTTACTATTTTCTGCATTATTTAGAGTTGCCATTTTATTGACAAGATTGCATATAAGAAAAAACTCTTAAAGCCTAAAAGAAAGAAACAACAAAAGTGTTATGATTGTCAGTTCCATTAAACAGAATATAGAATCATTAGTACAGAACATATTGCAACATACTAATTCAACTTCATAATACAGCTTCTCACAAAAATAGTAGAAAACGTTCAAGCCCCCAAACCTCATTTGGAAGTGACTGGATGGATATGCATCCTATTTGGGCTGGTTGATCATTATTTTAAGTATTGTAAATATATTTTCATGGAGCTTTATTTTTTTTATTAAAAAGCTGCATATCTTAATGTAATAAAAACAGCTGATACAATAAAACTCTGAAAGACAAAAAGAGGAACTATTTCATTTCAGCAAATGCTGAAAAAATGCCTATAATTTTGAAATAGGAAATTGACTTAGAACACTCTTCTCATTTAGGAATTTGGGTGTCTGAATAACCTAGGTATGTTTAAGATGGAATTCTATCCCACCCTCAGAATATAATCAATCATGCCTACAATTTAAGACCTATCTCAAGCATAAGGCAAAATGAAGTGATTACTGCAGGTAACAGTTTTGAGGATTCATGACTAGATAGAAAATCAATAGTTATTGACTTTACAAACTGGAAACAGAAAGATGCTAGTGAGATTTGGATGTTGGCACATCAAGCAGCAAATCTCTTTGCTCAGCTGTAACAGGTTCAAAGAGAGCTTCACCCTTAAAAAACTGAAGCTTGAAAATGATTCTCTGGTCTGTATTTTAAGACATCATTAATATTCAATAAATTCTATGGCATCAGGACCAAGTTCGTGCACCAAGATGGCAGAAATAAAGATATAGTATACACCACACAAATCAAGAGGCAAAAATATTATCTTTCTGACTTATTGAAAGAGCTTACCCCACACACTGATTTGTCATATGACATGTGAACTTTGGTTCAGCATATGTGAATCCCGGTATTTTGGATTGTAAACTAGTTTGCAAAATTCCAAATTAGGTTACTAGGTCTGGGCTACACAAATTCTGACAACTCTTGAAGGGTAAGAAAGAGTTAAAATTTTCCATAGCTCCTTGTAGCTATGGAACTCCCAGGAGCTGCCTAGGAGTTGTCATTTTGAAATAGGCCTGCGGTGGGGTGGGGGAAGGCAGAGGAGGAAGGCAGTGCTGCTGACAGGTGCATGTGATGGAGTGCAAGCAGGCAGGGGTGGTGTTTCTAGTGACTTACTGGGACAATTTGCAACCTTCCCTATTGGCTTCCTCATTAACTTTGCTTACGTGAAGGTACCAGAGAGTCACAGATGCCAATCATGCAGCATAGCTTGTGCAATATTGTAATCATGAGCCAGGCACCTGGGCATCTGGATTGCAACCATATGATCATAGGGACATTACAACAGCTGGAACTTTGAAGACTGGTTGTAAGTCCATTTTTTTCAGCGTCTCAGTAACTGTGAATGATTGCTGAACGAATGGACATGAGCCACGTCTACCCATAACTTGCCTTGCTAGTTGCCTAAAGCTACCACATATAAACCGACAGCAAAACTCACATTCACTATACATTATATATAGTTACCTAGTTGGGTACTGAAACATCTGCAAGCAAACCAAGCTCAGACAGTATCAAGAACCCCACATTTCAACCCTGAGCTACAGATACTCTTTTCTATTGGAAAATCATATTTCCATTCTCCAATATTTTTTGGGGAAAGGGGACTGAATCCAGGAATTGGTGCTTCTGGGTTAGCACCGAGGCTTCCCCTAAAAGCTAGTCTGGCCCCTCCAGAGATGCTGGTTGAAACTGAGTTCTTACATTGGTTTTGGGGGGTAGTTTGACAGTTATTTTTCCCTTCCTTCTGCAGTTTCTATGGTGGAGTAATTGTTCCATTTTCTTATGTCATACTGTGGGCAAATAAAAAAACTCACACAACTTTATGGTTTCTGTTGTAAACTGCCGTGAATTGGGGAGAGATATTCGGCAGAACACAACACTCATAAACCATAGAAATAAGTAAATAAGTAAACAGAGATAGTCCTCGATTTACAACAGTTCATCTAATGACCGTTCAATGTTACAACGGCAATGAAAAAAGTTGACTTATGACCATTTTCACAGTTATGACCATTGCAGCATCCCCATGGACATGCGATTTACATTCAGATGCTTGACAACTGGCTCATATTTATGACGGTTGCAGTGTCCCGGGGTCATGCAATCCCATTTGTGACCTTCTGACAAGCAAAGTCAATGGGAAAGCCAGATTCACTTAACAGCGATGTTACTAATTTAACAACTGGAGTGATTCACTTAACAACCATGGCAAGAAAAGTCATAAAAAGGGGCAAAATTCACTAAATACATTTCTCATTTATCAACATAAATTTTGGGCTCAATTGTGTCGTAAGTCGACGACTATCTGTTAACCCAGTCATGGCGGACATTTTTCCTCCTAAGGCTGCTCTCCTATTTAATTTAACGAGCCCTTCAACTTTTACATCAACTCAATGCTGACGGGTCTCCGGCACGGCAGGCTACATTGTGTCCGGGTATGATGTGAACACATCCCACTTCTTCGTAACAATGATTTACAGAAATACAGCTGAATAACTCGCTTCAGGCAATCCCCAGACGGCTTCATTCCCACAACACGCCAACCCAGAAATAAGCCGATCGTTATTTGGACGACTAGGTGTGGCCCAGGCGATCAGTCAATTGCTGCGGAAATTCATTTAAAGTGTAAAAAACTAACCAGCTGTGGGATTTCCTCCTTCGCTCCTCCAGACTGCTTCTCATTGCTGTTTTCTTTCTCCTTTTGGGAAAGAGTAACTTCCGATCTACTCCCTTCCGTTTATAGAGGTATAATACACCCAAATGGCGTAACTTCTGACTTCAATTTCAACTTTTTGTTTGCCTTAGTTGGGAGACTAACCAAACAAATCACTGGCAACCTTTTATTAGACTAGAAAATCACATGACCCCTTAATTTTCTACTTAAAGAGCAGTGTTTCCTCATCCTTAGTATTGTAACTCTAAAGATGTGTAGACTTCCACTGTCAGAGAACCCCATCTAGAATGCTGGCTGAGGATTTCTGGGAGTTGAAGTCCAAAACATTTAAAATAAAGTTGGCTAGCAGTGCGACCCTCAGTCTTCGGAGTTGCCTTCGGTGGATGGGCGGCTATATAGATTTGATATATAAATACCAGTGGAAAATTCCTACGTTTTCTGCAAGGCTTTCGTTCAAATGGGAAAAAAAAGTTTCTAAAGGTTGTATGAAAAACTGCATGAAGTTTAGCTAATTTGAACACGAAAGATGGAATTGAAGTAGATCGGTCTTGGCTTAGTAACTTTTTTGTGGGGCTTTTTTTGAAAGGGAGTGCAATCAGTTTCTTTTTTCATCTCCATTTTGAAAAAAATATTGCAAGATTAATGTATGTTAGCCACAGGTCTCCTTACAATATAATGAAGTCTATTCGCAGCTAGAGTCTGTGGCGGAACTAAAAAAAAAAAGCACTTTTCACTCGAAAGTTAATGAACGCTGTAACTTCTACATTCCTATCTCTACGTTCTTGTACAGACAAGTAATAATGACATGCCCTTACCCACATTCATCTTTGCGCACATTCATCCCCGCGGGAATTTCATGATTTCCGGTCTCTTTTTCCAGTGACAACGCCAGGCTTTTTACTTTGCCGGACTAACTATCGCGAGAGTGAGCGATACTCCTCCCAACCAATAGGAACTCAAGACGGCTTGGTCTTTTTACCGGAGGTTTAAGCCGCAGAGCAAGAGAAGGTGTGGCCTCGGTTGCTAAGAAGCGGCTTGGGGATAGCTCGTGTCGCTAGTCGAGTTTTCTTTCTCCGTTTTGTTGTAATCGCGGCCGGGAAGGCGGAGGTGGCTGGACCATGGTGAGTGGAGATGGCTTGTGCAGGCTGAGGAAGGAGATCTCCGGCGGGGAGGAGATTCCCGTAATGTCAGCATAAAAAGTCGATTGGGGAGGCGACGACCCCTAACGAAGTATCCCCATGAAAAGAAATGTTGTCGCTTGAGCTAATAGCAGTCTTATAGCTCAGTGACATGATATTTATTAGGGTTTTGTTAAAAGTGACCATATTTTCTTGGAAAAACTAAAGGACAAATCTAAAATGGGGCAAATCTGAAATTCACAAAGATAAGATAACCTTTATTGTCATTTTTATACTGTGGGCACAATGGCACACATCAAAAATGAAATTTAGTTGCCCGCTCTCAGAGTGAAACATATACATGACACACACCTAAACATACTATGAACAACATATGTATAGACTCCCATCCCTACATATACGTAGCAAATAAATATTAAATATTGTCCATCTTGAATATATAACGGAAAAAAGTTATAACTTTGCTTTACAAAAGAATTCAAAAGCAAAAGGAATAAATCTACAGAACAACTTTCTGAAATACTGTAAAGAATGGTCCTTTGCAATAAAGGACGTACTGGGAAAAATGGACAATGATTTATATAATGAGACCACAGTTATATTCCATCTTTCTTCAAAGAAGTTGTATGTAGCATCTATAGTTTTACATATTTTATTTTCTCTGTAACCTTGAGAAGTAGGCTGGGCTTAGAAAGCACTAGGCTACAACCATTCAGTGTTATTTATAGTTAAAAGGTGTTTCAAGTTAACTCATTCTGCTCTTAAATTGATCTTTCCCATCATTTTCATTATATCATCTCCTGCCACCTTGCCTAATGAACAAGGAGAACCAGAGTTTCTTTGGTAAATGTGAGAAAAAAACTCATGTTGGGATGACTGTTATAGTTACTAAACTGTTAGATTATCTTCATGGTATTCTAATAAGCTGAGGTTTTCTTTAGATTTAGGAAAATGATGTCTATTGGCATTAACTTGGGGAAATAATAAGTCCCCTCCATGCAAAAAGGGGAAGGCAAGATGGAAAAAAACAATCAAGAATCAAGAATTCAGGCTGGCATTGACTGCAACTTATCCTCTGATTTACATAGCATGTTAAGCCATTATATGGTTTGTATGATTTGGGCATAATGTGTTGGACAAACAGCCAATTTTGGAGTGAACTCAGGTTGCATGGATTGTTACTTTGTCGATTTGTTATACATTGTAGTATTTTATACACAAACATAGAAGCAAAGGCCTATAAAGATTACAATTATGAAGCAGGAATTATAGATTTAAAACCATACAACTGTAAAACCACTGATTTATTTTTGAATACAGTAAAGAGAATTGAATCTGGCTCATTAAGATTGTTTGCCTGCAATTTTATGCATATTACTACATTTAGAAGAATTTTGTTGAATACAATGGGATTTGTATTTGCTATGCATAAATAGGGCAACATTCATTTTTCCCAACTTAATTTTTCTCAGCTGCTTTGTATGTAGTTATTTAAGTGTCTAAAGTTCTACTTAAGTCAGTTCTATAATCTTTTGTGACAACTTCCTTTTTTCCCTGGAATCCTTTCTTGGCTCAAAAGTGATAACAATGTATTTTCATCTCATTTCACCTGTTTTACCTAAAACCTTTAAAACATTTTTCTTACCGCAGTAATAACTTTGGTTAAAATCCCCAACATTGCAACATTTGTGGAAAAAACAGTAGGAAAAAATAGTCTTTCACTTAGTTTAAAAAGAAAAGATTTTGAAGAAGATGTGTGTAGGCAGTAATGGCAGTTAAGTATTATAATGATATGACCTGCTGGAAGGTCTGTTTCTGTGAAGAAATGCATTTGAATCTGAATTATAATTATATAATGGATAATGGATAAAACAAGCAGAAAAAACAATATGGGAAACATAAACATTCTATCTCATGCTAGATATGTCCTTAAAATTTTATAGAAATGCTGAATTCTTGAACTTTTGTACAGAATTTGAATCTGATCAGAAGCTGATAAAAATACCTAAACACACACTATTCTGCTTCTAATGCCATACTCTTCATCCTTGCAGTTTTATGCCTAATTTAAACTATAGCTATGGATGGTGATAGAAGTAAAGTCTTCATCCTGGTTCATCCAAGCCGGGAATAAATAAGCAAACATGGCGACTGCTTTGGGAAGAAGGTTACAGTTTATTGCAGAAAGATGGTTCTTCAGGAAAGTGCAGAGGAGAGAGAAAGAGAAGGAGAAGGAGAAGGAGAAGGGCTGAGCACATGGAGCAGTAGGCTTTTATACCCCCTCTAGCCTTGTTTGGAATAGTTTCCCGTTCCTGTGGCATGAACCTTGAGGCTGTTTCTGAGTGTTTGTCTAGGCCTTGATATCTGTGGTTTAATTCTATTATCATATCCTGCTTCCCAGGTGATGGGGTTGACTCCTAGAGTTTGGGTGGGGTATGCAGATCTTCTCTTTTGTCTTCTTGATTGCTCTGGCTTCAACTTTCTGATGATTTTATATCTGCATTTGTATGGGGCTAAAGTCTTGCTTGGGGCAGAGAGATAGATTTGGGGCCAGGTTTGGTTTTAAAAAGTCCTTTTGAGGAAAAATATATTTTTCTGCCCTTTTTAATATTTCTTCTCTGGGCTAACTTTCATCAATCCCCGCTTTGTGCCTTAAGTGTGAATTTATGACACACTTATTGGCACAACATTAAAATTGATCTGGTCAGGGAGCCTTGGTAGACAAGCTTTTAAACTGTTAAGCAAAAAAACCTAATAATAATAAGACATTAATGGAGGCAGCAGAAAAAGATCCCTTTAGTGGCTCCCAAAAGGGGAGCTTGCACCCATAAAGTTCTAAAAGTCAGGGCAAAATTTTGTTAGGTGGAAAAGAAATTTATAGTGTCCAATATTCTGTGCCAATCATTTTCAAATGTTGGATATCACCTTTAGCTTCCAGTCAGGTTTGCATAACTCCCAAAATTCTTCACAGCCATGATTTTCCTTAGTACATGACTACTGGCTGCCCAATTTCAAGGGTTGTTTTCTGCCTTAGCTCTTAATTCAGTGCATCCAGGTTTGTAATGTCCAATATGCCAGGCTATTAAATTTTTCTTTAAATTGCACATACTGAGCTCTAGGAATCCCAATCTGAGCCCAACAGTGCAAGATATTCAGGGCTGAAGTTTGGGATTTTTCCTGTTGCTTCCTTAGTCAGGGCATATGAATTGCAAATTACCTGAGGGGGCTTGGTTCCCTCCCCCTTGGAATCTGTTGGAAGTTGGTCCCACAAAGCTTTGGTGCAATAGAGCAAAAATCAGCCTGGGGAACTTTACTAAAGGTAGGTGGAGGGGATAGACTCAAGTATGATTCTGAATGGTGTGTGTGTGTGCACTTTTACAAAATAGTCAATACAAACATTCTGGATAAATTTTCCCTCCCACCAGATAGAAGTCCAAGGTGTTCAGTACTTGTTCTGCCACCTATCCCCAAGTGCCATCTCTCCATTAATACATTCAACTGGCTTGTTACAATACAAATGGGGCAAGAAAGAAAAGTTTACAATGAGTTTCCACCCTCCCCCCACAGTCTAATTTTCTCTTCTGAGGCTTCACATGGCACCACCTTCCTTCTGCAGCTCTCACAGGCATCTGGGTAAATGGTAGGGCTTGGGAAGATGTTCCACTTAGATTGCATGGTGGCTTTTTAGTGGATGGCTGGATTCAAAACTCAATTCCATGGCTCAAATGGATGGAGGCAGCATCTGGGTCTGTGTGTTCTGCTTCCAAAGGCTTGGGAGAGGGTTTCAGGGCTGAAAGATACAAGAACAAGGTCTCCCCCCCCCCCGCTTTCTGGGTGGACTCTACCAGGAGAGGCAGACAAAAGGTATGGAGAACAAAGGGCAGGAAAAGAATTGGAAGGGGGGTAGCTTGCAGGCAGTTTGAAAATGCTGAAAACTCCAAATAATTTTAAAAGCCTAATATTTTAAGATGTGTAACCTGCCAAGGGTAGGAGGATCTGCCTTTAAAATTTATTCTAAAATAGATCACATTATTTTAGAGATTGGAAAATGCTTATGTTTCAGAAAGCTTCATAGTAGTTTCACCAGTAAGTGATAGGATAAGAAAAGTAACTTTAAAAAGTTATTTCCCCACACAAGCAGACTTGAGTTTCAAAAGGCTCTTGTAGATAGACACACATTTTTCAGGAAAAAGATAGATAAAACACATACAGTAAATGCAAGTGAAACGTTTCCAACAGATAAACTTAAAGCAATCCCTCCTAGTAACTTAAGGCTGTTCTTGAGAGTACTCAGAAAGAAAGAGGAAAACAAACAAACAAACAAACACATTTTTTTTTCTTCACTCTGTTTGTTGGCCAGACAAACAGAGTGAGGTATTTCCTTTTTGTGGCTTATTTTTAAGCAGAATTTCTAGCAAAATTTAAAATTCTTTTTTTCTTTGGATTTGAAACAGTTAACAGTCACATTTACCTCTCACGCAGACTTTGACAAACATATATACACAAAGACAAGAGAACAGAAGTCTTAGTTTTACACATCCTAGTCATTCCCACCATAAATTTCAGATAACTCAAGTTAGGGAAGGCACATATTTTAAACATACCACGTGGTTGCATAGAGGAGAGAGAGAGATAGAGAATCACTATTTCTTATTTTCCCTTTTAAGTACCTTTATTTAGCCAAATTGGTTTCCCAGCAAGGCCCTAAGCAAAGTCTGTATTTTTTTTTTCTTTTCCCCCATATAGTTTCTTTACCTACCTCTTTTCCATTCTGGCCTGGACAGGTAACTGGTTCCTGTCCCAGGCTACGAGCAAGCTCTCAACCAGGAAACCTACTTCCGCCCTTGAATTAGAACTTCCCATGTTTCTATAATGGGATTTTCCTACCACTAAAGGGCACAATCCGTCAGAAGTCTCCTTGTGAGACTTCTTCCTATTATCACGATTTTGTGAGTCCAAAAAAAGGGGACTCACGGAGCTTC